CCAGGAGTGGGCTCATGCAGTCTCTGTCCTTCGGTGATTGGCTAACTTCGCTCAGCTCTCCAGGCCCATCCACGTCTTGCGTTGTGGTTTCATTCTTGTTTGGTAGGGATCCATGCCTACGATAGGCACCATCGCATTTGGTGCCACTGTGGGTGTGTGCCAAAGTGTCTTTGCCCACTCTTCTGCGAATGGGCTGTTTCCAACTTCTTGCTATGGTGAACAGGGCTGCACTGAACACTGGAGTGCGTGTGTCTGTCTGTGCTATGGGTGCTAATTCTTGAGGCATGTATCCAGCCAAGGGGTTGCTGGATCGCATGGGATTTCTACCCCCAGTTGTCTGAGGTCGAGCCATGTTGCTTCTCCCGATGGTTTTATATTGCCAGCTGTTCTTGTCCTTGATACTTGAGCATCTTCTCTGGAACATGGTCTTCACATCATTCCCTGTCATCCAAGACTCCCGCCTGTGTTCCATCTTGCAAATGTCATCCAGATTGGGAAATGCACCTACCCATACGTTCTCAACAGATCTGGGGCAATTGTAAATTCCCCGGCGTGGAGGGTAGAGCGCCTTACATCCAGAAGGATGGTGTCGTGTGGGGAGGACATGGCCTTGGGGAGGGCCAATGGCTGGGGAACCCTTGGCAGTAACCATGAGCTCTGGATTCCAGCCCTGGCTCCTCTGGCATCTCCTCCTGAGAAAGACCCTTTGCTTTCCCTCCCAAGCTCTGACTTTGTCTGAATGGACAATTCTTCACTTAAATTATTTCCAATTTCCTGTATTAGCCCTTGAACTAGTAAACCGTATTTTGCTAAAGAAACCACCCTTTGCTAATCGAGATTTGTTCTAAAGAATGTATCTGCCATCACTTTCTTCTGCCAGGACAGTATCAAGTTTACTTTTAAAAAGCCTTGAGCTCATGGCTTGGAACGACCCCTGAGCACAGTCTATCATTTGGTGCCTCATTTCTGTTGAACGGAAGGAATGTGGCAGGAAATGTAAAGAAAAATGAAATTCTTGAAACCAGAAACTAATTTAATACCCTGTCCCAGAAGAGTTCACACCTGCCTTCTAGTTTTGCTCTTGAACACTTGTTTGCATGCATGTCATCAAAGATTCAAGCTCCAGACGCCCCACCAAGCCCTCTGAGTCCTGGGACATGCGGCCTCCTTGTTCTCCCTCACTTCAGCTGTCAATCATGCTGGAGGATACTGGTGGCTGCTAAAATCCCTTCTAGGTCTACACCATTGCAATCTAATTCTAATTCACACCATTGCAATCCATTTTGAAATTCCACTTTGTAGTGACACACACACACAGCATTCTCTGTTACTTTATAAAGAACCCTGTGGTGACATAGTGGTTACATGTTGTGCTGTTAATTGCAAAGTCAGCAGTTGGAAACCACCAGCCACTCCTCGGGAGAAACATAGGACTCTCTACGCCCACGAAGAATTACTGTCTCAGAAACCCACAGGGGCAGTTCTACCCTGTCCTATAGGGTTGCTATGAGTCAGCATCAACTAGCTAGCAGTGAGTGTGGTTGCTTTGGGGGTTACTTTAGGAACCCCTGGGTGGTATAAAGGGCTGAAATGCTGGAAGTTGGAATTCATCCAGCAGCACGGCAAGGTCAGCTGTTTGAAACCACCTGTCACTCCTCAGGAGAAAGATGAGGTTTTGTACTTCCATAAAGAGTGACAGTCTCAGAAACCCACAGAGGCAATTCTACCCTGTCCTATTATGTCGCTATGAGTCAGAATCAAATGAATGGTGGTCAGGTGGGGGGACAGTTTGGATCATGCCCTACACCTTTGCCTCTTCCAATGCAATGTTTCTCAGGGAGTGGGCTGTGATCACTTGGGGAAGCTCAGTAACAATAGGAGCTTTAAGGATCCAAACTAGATTTCCCCAAACACAAGTCCTGGGATGAGGCCAACCCAACCACTGAGCCCATATCAACTCCTAATAACTCTAGATAGGGCTTCTGAGACCGTTAACCTTGACAGAAGCAGATAACCTTAACTTCCTCTCTTGGGGCAGCTGGTAAGCTTGAACCTCTGACCAGGCAGGTAGTCCAAGGCTTACCTGACAGCACCACCAGGGGTCATTTGGGATGAGGCCAGCGAAGCTGCTTGTTCACTAAACCTCCCTGATAATTCTGGGCATAATAATTTGAAAGTCGTGGCTTTTAGAAAACTGGTACCATTTGTAGCTGGGGTGTGTTTTCATTGCTGCATATATATTTTGGTCTTTAGGGAAAATACGTTATGGATTAAAGTGTGCCTCACAAAAATATGTTATAAATCCTAACTTTTGGGTGCATAAGCAAATGTGGCAAAGAAAGCTGATGGTGCCCGGCTATCAAAAAGTATAGCGTCTAGGGTCTTAAAGGTTTGAAGGTAATCAAGCGGCCATCAAGCTCAGAAGCAACAAAGCCCACATGGAAGAAGCACGCCAGTCTATGCAACCACGAGGTGTCGAAGGGATCAGGTATAAGGCATCATCAGAACAAAAAATCTTACCATAGTGAATGATGGGGGGAGTGCAGAGCGGAGACCCAAAGCCCATAAGTAGGCCACTGGAGATGCCCTTGCAGAGGGGTCTCGGGGAGGAGACGAGCCAGTCAGGGTACGATGTAGCAACATACAACTTTCCTCTAGTGCCTAAATGTTTCCTCCCTGCTCCCACTATCATGACACGAATTCTACCTTGCAAGTCTGGCTAGACCAGAGAATGTACACTGGTACAGCTAGGAACTGGAAATACAGGGAATCCAGGGCCGATGATCCCCACAGGACCAGTGGTGTGAGTGGCGATACTGGGAAGGTAGGGGAGAGTGGGTAGGAAAGAGGGAACCGATTTCAAGGAACTATATGTGACCTCCTCCCTGAGGGACGGACAACCGAAAAGTGGGTGAAGGGAGACGTCAGACAGGGCAAGATATGACAAAATAACAATTTATAAATTATCAAGGACTCATGAGGGATGGGGGAGCGGGGAGGGAGGGGGAAAATGAGGACCTAATGCCGGGGGCTTAGGTGGAGAGGAAATGTTTTGAGAATGATGAGGGCAATGAATGTACAAATGTGCTTTACACAACTGATGTATGTATGGATTGTGATGAGTTGTATGAGCCCCTAATAAAATGATTTTTTTTTAATCCTAACTTTTATATCGGTGGTTATAATCCCATTTGTAATGAGTTTTCTTTGTTAATGTGGTAGTACTAGTGCAGGGTGTGTTTTCAATCAATCTCTTGAAATATAAGAGTGGATTAAGCAAGAAAGCAGCCTGAATCGGGGGTTATACATGCCACAAGATTATCAGGGAGTCTAGGAATATAAACGGAAGAGACCTTCCCTCAAAGTAGACGACTAAAGCCTTGGAGAGCCACACACACACACACACACACACACACACACACACACACCCGCCCCAAAGAATTTTTTATTCCTTAAAGGCACCCACTTGTGATATTTCCATTATTTGTCGTTGCTGTCAAGTCAGTTCTGCATCACAGTGGTCCGATGGACAACAGAACAAAACACTGCATTGTCCTGTGTCATCTCCACCATTATTCTCATGTTACAGTGCATGGTTGCAGCCACTGTGTCAATCCATCTCATCAAGGGCCCTCCTCTTTGATCATGGGCCCTCTGTGCTTAAACCCAATGCCTTTCTCCAGAGGTTGGTCCTTCCTGATAACATGTCCAACGTGCATGAGATAAGGTCTCACCACCCTTACTTATTAGGAGCAGTCGGGCTGTACTTCCTCCAAGACAGATTTGTTTGTTCTTCTCAAAGTCCACATTGCTGTCAATATTCTTCTCCAACATCATAATTCAAATGCATCCATGTTTCTTCAGTCTTCCTTATTCAGTCCAGCTTTCACATGGCTTGAGTCAGGTGTACATCTTCAAAGTTCATGACCTCAAAAGGGACAGCTTTGCTCTTCAACACTTTAAATAGGTCACGTGCAGCAGATGTGACCAGCAAAAACATATTGTTCCATGTCTTGACACCAGGTTCCATGACTGTTGATTATGAATCCGAGTAAATTAAATTCAGGGTTTTCTCTGTTTCTTGTGATGCTGTCTATTGGTCCAGTTATGAGGATTTGGGTTTTCTTCACATTGCGTTTCCAGGTTTCCTTTACATTTGAATTGATGGGGTCTACAGAGTCACTGTGAGTTGGAATCACTTCGAGGGCAGTGAGTTTTTGTTGAGTTTTTACATTGAATTGTAATCCAAACTACAGTCCTTGATCCTCATCAGCAAGTGCTTCAAGTCCTTCTCTCTTAGCAAGCAAGGCTGTGTCATCTATACATCGCAGGGTCTTAAGAAGTCTTCTTCCAATCCTGATGTCCTGTTCAGTTTCTCAGATTGGTTTGGCATACAGGTAGAATAAGCATGCACACCTATCCTGGTTTTAAACCATTCCGTATTTAGCAGCACTAGAGAATTGTTGTTTAACCAAGAAGATAAGAACCATGTTGGGCAGTATTGGGGGCGAGGGCCATTCCAAGCTTCTGCCTCTATCCAAGATGCTGGCAACGTTGAGGATGCCATCAGTCACCTTGACGCTCTGGTAGGAACTCCTGGAAAGAAATCAACCAGGGATGGCTGATTTACCCGGGAAGCAGTTGCAAGGTGGGGAATCGGTTCTTGGAGCCACCCCGGAGCATGTAGCACAATCTTGCCTGCAGTCTAGACGCCAAACAGCTAGGGTTTGCAAGCGCAACAGAACTCAGGGCGACTCCAGCCCCGCTACCGTTACCCTTGGCAACGGCGACCAACTCCCAAAGCTAGCGTGGCATGAAAAGGCGGGACTTCCTGTCTCCGAAAGCGAATGCGCATGCGTTCCTTTGCATATCCGAAGACACTTCCTGTCGCGTGATCCTGAAGACCAATGAGAATGCAACACTTCTAGAGCACGCGCCTCCGTTCCCAATAGCAACGGAAGGCTTCTGAACAACCCACCCCGCCCTCCCCTTCGTTGGCGGTCCGGCTACTCGCGTCGACCCTGGCTTCGGCTTCTCCCGCTCCTCGAAGCCGGCGGGCGACCCCAGCCCGCGGCCATGG